TTAGTACATCACCATCATCACTTTTAGTATACACGCTCATCACCTTTAGGAGATTTTCATCTCTCCCCTCACCCCCATCTACCGTACCGATCAGCAAGCACCCTCCCCCATTTCCCATTAAGCCTCCAGCTCTAACCAAATTTTAATCAATTTTATATAGAGGCGCAAAAATCTGCCCTGCCAAAATATGTCTTTTCGGCAAAAGGCTGACTCCATGGAAGGGGCTCTGAAGGCTGGGTTGGAAGTTGCCACTGAAAAACACATTTACATGTAAGTCTCTCCTTATTTCCTTATGTCTTAATTTTCAGTGAAGAAGGCAGAACTTCAGCTTACAGACCTTTGCCTACTGTGCTCTCAGGAAACTCCTGACCTTCTTTTGTTGTCCACCTTCTCCCAACCTCTCCTGCCTTGGCTATGTGCCACGTGGCTAATTAGTCATGCTACGTCTCTCCCACACATGCAGGAGGTATACATGTTATGACACTTCTTTTTTACTTATGCTCTTATTAATCTTTCTGGTGCTTGATTATTTGCTGGCTTAGAAAAACCCAGAGAAGAACAGAATGATTTCCTTTGCAACCCTGTATCTGTGTGCAGATCTGCCTATTCTGGACAGTCCAGTAGATAAAATAGCACAAAATGTGGTCTTTTGTGTCTTGTTTCTTTCACTAGGCAAGCTTTCAGTGTTCGTCTGCATGGTAACATGTATTGGTACTTTGTTCCTTTTTATGACCAAGTAATATTCCATCACCATTTACACATTCATCAGATGATAAATATTTAGGTTGTTTCAATCTTTTGAGCTACTGTAAATAATGTTGCTATAAACATTTGTGTATATATTTTTATATGAACATGTTTTCATGTTTTTTTTATACTGAAAAACATGTTGGGTCATTGGTAACCATTTGAAGAACTGCCAGATTATTACAAAGCAGTTACTAGAATTCTAATTTGTCCACATCTTTGCCAACACTTATGCCTTTGGTTATGGATGTCCTAGAGGGGTGAAATAGTATGTCACTGTCGTTTTTTGATTGTGTTTTTTGATGCCCCACTTCTGAGGCTATGTGGTTTATTCCCACTATGTATCCTGCCAATTCAAGAAAATCCATTGCTGAACCAACTTAAATGGATCCCATGCATGGCTTCTATCTATACAATACTTCCTTCAATTACAGGCCCACTTACATCTTCTCTCTCCTATCAGACTGTGAGCTGCTTAAGAAGTCCAACATTTCTAAGTGCTCAGTCAGTGAGAAGTCTACCAAGTAATTGATACTTCACAAACATTTGCTGATACCATTTAATGTAGAAGCTGAGTGTGGTTAAAACACGGAAGATGATACCAGTTAATGTGGAAGCTGAGGGTGGTAAAAACATCCTCGGACCAGGATGGAGGGACAGAAGAACAGCAAAGGTCAATCCCACTTCTCACAGAAGGCAGAACGCATGATATTGATGTTTCATATCATTTTAACCTTCACTGTTCATCTGCTCTTAAATCTAACCTTCAAGGATTCAATCGGCACAGGGAAAAGGAACCACTCCTCACTCTGTCTCTCCTTTCCTTTCCTCCAGCACATCAGGACACAGAGGGAACCCTCGGGATGGGGCAGAAGTCAGTATTTGCCCCTTGCATTCTGAGAGTCTCCATAGACACACAGCATGGTGTGATGAAGAGCCCCGCTGTGAGCTGCATCAGGGAAACCCAGCCCCACTGAACCAGGAGGTGCAAAGGCCAACCGAGTCAGCCTCCAAAGACTGGAAGTCATTAACTTTAGTTTCTACTCCCCTATTTCACCCAGCCACTACAGAGGCTCAGAGTCAAAGTACACAGTGCTGGACCTCAGCTACTTGATCCACATAATTACTTCAACCACTGACCGGTCAGGGCGAGCACAACACCTAGTCAGCGAGTCTTATACACTGGGCGTGTTCTGGCAATGACGGAGACAACCAGCGCTGGAGATCTGGCAAAAACCTTCGCCACATCTGACCACTGGATCTTCTCTTCCTCTGCACAGCAAAGGTGTTGTCTGAGCTAAGGCAACTCTCAGATTCATGACAGAAATTTTGAGCTGCTGACAACAGAACTTATTCAAAAATAGCTGTCTCCTGTGACCGCGCGTGCTGGTCTTAAACGCGCATGAAATGCATGTTCATGAGCAAAAGTTGCACAAGAATTTCAGCAAAATTACTTGGCTATACCCTGAGACTCAGCAGGTAAAGTAAGTATGAAGCTTAAAACAATAAAGAATATCCTTAAGGGAGCAATTCCTGGTGCAAATTTAACATTTAAACTCCTTGATCCTTATATGCATTACTCTAGAGCAGACTGTATCACCACCACCCCAGAATTCCCACATCCCCTGGCCTCTAGTGGGACAGAAATAGAGCGAAATAAGTGCAGAACAACCACGGGCCCAGCCTCAGGCCTGTAAGAGAAGGCTGGAGACACCCAGTGATGAGGACCCATGGCAAAGACAAAGCCGGAGGCTGGAAGAATCTCAAACCTAGAAGAGGCCCTCAATAAGTCTTTGGTACAGAACAGCAACTTCTGATACCTCAGCACAAAACTGGCTAGAGAAGAGAGATGCAATTAGTGTCATCCATGGAAGGACGTAGAGAGTTGCAGGAAGTATGAACATGGTAAAAGTTTGTCCAAAGCAAGTCACACCCAACTGCTGTTTTAGACCTAAAGCAACCATCATATAGAAGGAGAAGTAAATGTAGCGATGAAACAAAGGAAAACTCAGCTGACAAGAGTCTCCACAGGCACAGAAGCAACCGACCCCAAGGTGTCCCTCCACTGGGCCCCCACCTGACTTTCCACCATAGTACATGGGTGCTCCAGGTGCTGACACACACCCCTGATTCTTCTCTCCACATGAGAAGCATGAACTGCACTTCCACTGAGGAGGTTTGTGTCAACAAGCTGCCACACCACGTGAGGCCTGGCCAAGCCCTGATGGCACTTTAATAGGTCACATGGCCTTAGCTATGGCGTGAGAGGTCCAAGGTTGCAACCATTTCAGCTCCATGGTCTCTCACCATATTTTGAAGAAATATAATAGTCGTGGATCATACTGTGCATTAAACTGTCCAATTTCCCCCAATGGCCATTTATTTTGAATACTGTCAGAAGCAGACTTTTTATATACTAATCTTCACAACCAGTAGTAAAACCATTGTAAAGCAATGAAGACATCTACGAAGACAGCCTTTCCATTTAGAAACTTTCACTAGGCTGGAAATTAGACTCTGAAATTTACTGAAGCACAGACTACCATGCCTGGGATTCTCTGCTCAGATAACCTAAGTGAGCTTCTCCCCCAAGGCCCTGCCAGACACTTGCTGCTGGAGCTCTAGGGCTTTCTCCAGAGGCTGCAAGGAGACCTGGTTCTTCTAACTATTCTACTCTCCTCTATTCTTATATTCAAAATCACCTTTCCCTACAATTACGCCTCCTCAGCACAAGGCCAATATAGTGGTGGTTAACATCATGTATAAACTTAACTACCCAGACATAGGCACAGCTTAGATCCTGCTGTGAAGTATTTTTCAGATGAGATTAACATTTAAATCAGCAGACTTTCAGCAAAGCAGTTTATCCTTAGAAATGTGGTGACTACGTAAGTTCAGTGGACTTCAAGAGAAAGACCATTAACCTCCCTAAGAGAATTGTATTTGCAGGCTGCCTTGAGATCAGACTACACTGCCAGCTCTTCCCTAGGCCTCCAGCCTGTCAGCCTACCCTGCAGATGTGGGGTTTGCCAAGCTGTAAACGTATTTGAGCCAATTCACTAAAGCAACTCTTCCCTATCCCTATCCTCACCCCCGCACCATATTGGCCTTTTTCCCCCTGGAGAACCCTAATACAACCACACACCTCATTTTCTGATAAAATACACTTGTACCAATCTCCCAGAGCTAGAAAGAAAGCAAAATTAAGATGACTTACTTAGGTGATCAAAAAGAGAGACATTTCCAGGCAAAAAACCTAAAACCACTATGCATGACTATTCATGAGAAATTTTTTTTCTGTCCCTCAAGAGCTTGGTATCTCATGATGTTACCAAGAATCTGGTCCCTCCTAAAAGGAGGCTTGAGTGATAGGTGTAATGATAATGTAAACGGATTTATTACACAAGGAGGGGAGGAAAGAAAACTAAAGATAATTAAAGGAAAAATAAAGTACAAGCTATTTCATTGCTCCAAACATGAACCACTGAGCCCTCCCTGGTGGCGCAGGGGGTTAAAGCACAGCACTAAGAGGGCCCTCCCTGGTGGCGCAGCGGGTTAAAGCACTACACTGAGAAGCTAAAGCCACTTCCGCATGAGTTCGATTCCCGCCTGCCCCGGAGGTGACCACATGGTGTGGCAGACCTCTCCTGACCCGCCCGCTGCTCCCCTCAGCAGTGTGCTTTGTCGATCTGCCTGTTCTGCTCCCCACTCTGTCTCTGGTGAATCCTCTCATTGCCCTGCACCTCTGGCCTGTACCCCAGTACTGTATGCATAAATAATAAATCTTAAAAAAAAAAAAAAAAAAAAGCACAGCACTAAGAAGCTAAAGCCACTTCAGCAAGAGTTTGATCCCCACCCCGGGAGGTGACCCACATGGCGCGACAGACCTCTCCTGATCCACCCGCTGCTCCCCTCAGCCGTGTACTTCGTCAATCTGCCTGTTTTGTTCCCCACTCTGTCTCCGGTGAATCATCTCACTGCCCCTATACCTCTGGCCTGTACCCCAGTTCTGTAAGCATAAATAAAGAAATCTTAAAAAAAAACAATGAACGCAATATAAGAGGCCAATGCTCGCCAAGGTTCAGGTTCACGAGGATGAGAGGGAAATGCCTGCTGAGGACAGAACTGGGCTGGCTTCTGGGAGTCCTACAGTCACCACTCCGGCAAGGACCAAGAGCAGCAAAGACTCGTGCAATTCCCCCTCCTGCCGCCTGACTGTCCGGGAACACTTCTGAGCTGAGGTTTACTCTTACCTGGCCATCTGCTTGTAGGCTTCTTCTGCCACAGCAAAGATGTGGGGGTCCATATCCCCCATGTTTTGGCCGCTGTAGGCATAGATGACATCTTGTCCATAGATTGGCAACTGTTCGTAAGGATTAATGGCAACAAGCACGATACCTGTGAACAGACACTAAGGTCAGGTTCTGATGCACAATAGCCACCCGCCGTCATCCTTCGAAGGGCCCTGTAATAACAGCTTCACATAATCTACAAGTCTCACAGTTGTCTAAAACCCTAATTCACCTAACACTTAATTCAACTTTTGATATTGTACCCAAGCTTCACGGTGTCCTAAAACCTCCCAGCCTCCTCCAAAGCAGCAAGGAGGCTTTTGGCTTCTTCCACTCTGTGCTGCTGCCTCCGTGGCTGGGTAACGCTGAAGCTGGAGCAGCCATGGTGTGTTTGCTAGACACATACAGACACCAGGCCTCTCGCAGGGAGATGCCTTTAAAATGGGCAGCTGGTAGACATTTATTCCTTTTTTCCTAAAAGGGGAATAGATCTTTTAAAAAAATCATCTTGTTGATAAAAGTATCCAATTGAAGGCTCAGATGATTTATTTTCTTGCAGGTAGAACTCCCTAGCACTTGCTATGAAGGCAGTTTTGGGAAACTGTCTCTGGCTCTGACATCAACAATCTGTCACAGCCCCTGACATGTGGCACAGACTCCCCTTGCCTCGGCAGCCAACCACCCAACTCCAAGCCAAGTGGAGTATCACAGTAAAGGAAGTGTTCTGAGACCTCACGTGGGACCCCAACCTGTTCGGGACTCTGAAGCACAAAGAAGCTTTGCCCTGACTCTTCAGTGAGATCCCCAATTGATTTGCCCTCAAACAGCAGTTAATAGAGTCTAATCTTCAACACACCACTTAACAGTACCCTAGAAGAAAAAATCACGGAGGAAATTGAGAAACTTCAAGAAAAACAAATATGAGATACTTTCAGAGAAAAGCTTCTTGTTCAAAGAAGCTCTCCAGACTCCTGCTCATAAATGATGAATATTCGTCAAACACTGTTATTTGTGTATGGGGCAATTGGGTGGGGTGTTCAGGGACACAGGGAAGATGGCCCTTTCTCAAGCAGAAGACAGACTCAAGCAGGGACATCATTAGGGCTCTGGGGTGGGGGGAGGGGGCGAGCAGATGCCTGACAGCAGGCCAGGGCACCAGGATGCATTTCCTGCTCTCCTGCGGCCACAAGGCCATGCCTGCACGAGCAGAGCCCAATGGGGTTCACCTTTTTCTTGGTTGAGCTGTGATTAACACAATCATCCCAAAGGGATGTAGGGCGGCCTTATTAAACCACAGTGGCTGATTGCAAACCTTTCAAGTGTCTCTGCTGAGAGGTACTTATAAATGAGAGTGAAATTAGGATCCCTACCCACTGGAGTTTTAACCCGTGAAGTCTAAAGACCGAAAGCACTTTCAGACCTGGGCAGCCAGAACATGCCCCCCACTTACCACAGTAAGTGTAGATATGGTTCGACTCCAGGAAACGGACTTTTAAGTTATGCAGAACAGCAGGCTCATGCAAATAGCTCAGGGCAGTGAGGTCATTTTCTCCCACCAAGATGTCTGGATTCCGTAAGAAGGGCAGCTGGCTGCTTTGGACATCAATAGGATATTCCCGAATCTAGAGAGACAGACGGAAAAGACACACTCAGGCAGTTATGAAGCATTCAGCCCCTGTGACTTCTTGTCCTGTGGCTGGCTCACATGGTTGTAAGTGATAAAAATAACTTAACAATAATCTGTTGCCATAAGAGACCAGCCCAAAAGGAAAATTGGCTGTATCATAATCGCAGTGCATCAAAGTGAAAAAGTGGATGACGTGAGGATGTAGGAAGCACAGTTAGATTTTACAAAGTGCCCTGCTTCTCTCTGGGGGCCGGGGGGGCTGCTACTCATTCTGGCTGCCATGGTAGTGCTGCTGTTCTTCCAGACAGAGCCCTCCTTCAGTTTGGCCTAATTTATGCTGGTGGTTCTTGACGCTCTTTCCAGTCAACCCAGAAGGCTTTTATTGGTATTATTCTCCAATATAATGACAAACTGCTGTGAACTATCCTTTGGAGGAGTCCTCAAGATAGAGATAGATATTGCATATGTGTACACATGTCTATCTCTATCTAGGTGTGTATAGATGTTTTCCCACAACCTAACTGCAAAGCACTCTAGGACAATAATTTTACTTTGACCTGAAGTACAGTAGGAGCTTGAGGGATAGGGGTGTGTGTGTGTGTGTGTGAGGTGTGTGTGTGAGGTGTGCACTCGCCCACACACATGCTAAGAGATCAAAGTATGATTACAGATCTACAGTTCAAATCTTAAATGCAAAATTATCATCCTTATATTTCTAGCATGCGGAATATAAGCATCCAAAATTTTCATCAGCTGGATGCACTTGAACTGACTCCACATATATACGCATGTGGGTATGTCATGGTGCTTTTTAAACATTTAAACAGAAGGAATTTGCTGGTTACTTATCATGTTTCAGCTGAGTGTTAGGTTTTTTAATGATCTTCTTGAGAATCACCTGAGAGCTTACAAAACAGTTTCCCAAACACAACTTTTATGTTTCAGAAACCCTGGCCTGGGGACCAAGACTCTGAGTTCAAGAAAGAAACTTCCCCAATTAGTTCTCACATTGGTAGCCACGGGATTGCATTTTAAGAACCACTATGTAGGTCCTCCCTGGTGGCACAACAGGTAAGGACGCAGCACTGCAAGCTGGCCGCAGCCACCTCAGTGTGAGTTGGATCCCAGCCCTGGAGGTGACCCACAGGGTGCGGCAGACCTCTCCTATCTCACCCGCTGCTTCCCCCAAAAGTATACTTCATCAATCTACCTGTTCTGCTCCCCAGTGTCTCTGGTGAAGCCTCTCACAGCCCCTGCACCTCTGGCTTGTACCCCAGTTCTGTATGCATAAATAAATAAATCTTTTTTAAAATCACTATGTAATACGAATCTTTCAGGGAATTCTATCAACACAGCCTCAGCTCACTGAGGTAGCAGTCAGTTTCTAGGAGAATGTAAGTACCAAACTCCTCTCCTGTGCCCCTTTGAGAGGGACGTGGACTGTCTGATCTCACATACATGACTAGAGCTGATGTATCGTATGGTAACGGCCCCGCCATGGGAGAAGGAAGCTGTAACAGCAAATCCAGAAATAAGTATCAGCATGCATGAAGGCTGGCTTGTGATAAGGTGAAAACAGCAAGTAACAGTTAAAAGGAATTGTCATATAATAGCAGCAGGCACACTGGTCTCCTATTAGGAGAAAATTAAGCCAATTCTCTATTCTCATCCCTTTCAGCTTTCACAGGAGGAGGGAGGGATGAGAAGAGGGAGCACACACAGTGAAGCCAGAGAGCTCAGACGCTCCATGACGTAACGGAATCCATCCTTGTACTCACCAAAGAGCTTGAAGGGATCCAAAAGACGACCACCCCACCCCACCAGAAAACTGGGCACAAATAAAAGATGCAAAGGACAACATAGGAAAGCCATTCAACTTGGGCATGAATGTGACGTCCACGAGCAAGAGCTCATCAGACAAGCAGAGGCCCGGAGAGGGCCGGGCCCACGGGAAGGCTCAGCTGCACTTCACCTTTCTCCGGGGCAGCTGGCAACACGTCATCCAAGCTTTTCATGAGTCTGCTTTTCTTCCTTGGCCCCAGGAGACCATCTTCTAAGGAACAAAGTAACTGACTCACTAAAGCCGTGAACAGGGAGAGAGACCTGGCATGGACCTGCACACACCACACATTCGGGGAGCTCCGTGCCACTCTGCTGCTTTTACAGAGGCTGGCGACAGGGTGAAATGTATGGCTGTTCCCCTTTACCGAAGACCGTTATTACGGCTTTTCTGGAGCAACATCCCCACAGAGGAGCAACAGTTACCATGCAGCTGATTCTTTTGGTCCTGTGACTGGCTTTCTTTTTGTAGAATTAAATGCTGGTTCTCTTCTTCCTATGGAGAGCTATTTTTACTGATGTTAAACTTAATCCATACATGGCACCAGTAATAACTTTCAAGAAGATGCCCAAAAGAATCCAAAAAATGAAGGATGATATAATGAATATATTTACAAAAAAAAAAAAATTCCAAAGAGGATAATGGAGAGCGCTGAGAGCTAATTGTTATTTTATGAAATTCCAGCGCTGATGGCCCTTCACATCCAGCTGAGTCTTCTCTGTCCTGTCTTTCTGAAGATGCCCCAAGAAGCAGGCTCCTCTGTTCCTCCCTTGTGGCTCTCCACCGTGGGGAGAAGCTCAGGGAATAGTCAATCCAGACCGGCCCAGCACCTCATTTTTCAGATTAAAAAGTCTGACCTCCTTGATGTGGAGATCTGTTTAAGGGTCCCCTTAAGCCCTAGGAGAAAGGCTGGCATTTCATCTTATCTCAAATCAATCTCCCCTCACATATGCAATTTATGGAAACAGGGCTCACAAATAAGCTAGAGGTATCAGTTATAGTAAATTGATAAGGAGTGCAAATGGCCAGAGCAGCAGAAAAGGGTAAGACTGCAAGCTCAGCAAAGCTTCAGAGGTGCTGGTATGCGCACATGTATGAGAGGGAAGGAGGGGTGAGAACTTCAGAACAGATTTTTTTCCTTTAGCAAGAGTGTGACTCTCACACTCCTGCTAGTGTCAAACATTTAGAGCTAACATGGTTTTACTTGAAAATCTAAATGTTTATGATGTGATCAGGAAACCATGAACTTTCTGGCACAGAAGATTTCACTGCATTATAACTGGGCCTTTGAGATTCAGGGAAGCTAAATGTTAATACCCCGCACAAAATTAGTACTTGGTCACACCTGGGGTTGTCCTTAACCTCTCCTCTTCCCCCACAAACAGATACAGGGGTCTCCAATTGGTCTCCCCGCCTACGGCCGATGTGGCAAGGCTTGAGGATACAGAACAAAGCATAAGATATAGGGTTGGTCTATTCCTGCCCTGGCCAACCGAGTCCCCTATTATCAGCAAGGGGCAGGATCCAGGGGGGAACATGGAGGGGTCATCTCTGCTCTGGAAAGTGTTTAA